CGGATCTTGTTCAGTTTCAGTTGCAACCAAAGTGCTTCTGACCTTGTAGAAAAGCAAATGTTGCTATGGTTAGATCATGATGTTTCTCTTCAAAAAGTATTTGCTTCTGTTCATACAGTAAAAATTCCCCGACATCTTACAAACAAATGATATTTAAATTATGTAGCTCTATAATTATTAAAAATGCATTTTACCAAATTAAACATTTCCATACTGATATACAAAAGAACTTTGAATTTGCTACTTCTTTGGGAGATTCATTAAAAATAGTTTGGTTTAATAACTTCCTTTTTGGTTCAGTGGGCAAATCCTATGACAATTACAGTCATTATTGAAGTGATCATCAAAACAAATTTATCTAAGTAATAGAAAGGTTGCTGACATAGGCATTCTGTTTATTTTATATATAGCCCAACTTTCCTCTAGGATCTCAGGGTGTCTCATGTCATATTATCTCTCACTTAATGTTATATTCACAATAGCAACCCACAACAACAAAATAGAGGTTCATGGAGGAAAGATTATAACAAGATACAAGACAAACTCATAAACAGTACTACTAAACTTAAAACTAAACTGAAGATCTGGTCCTTCAAGGAAGGACAGCTCACTTGAGTGCTGGAATAGGGATGAAGAAACTGAAGTCTTCTGCATGAACAGATATTTGATCTTGGCTGGAATTTAACTTTAGTCAAAGTAAATTTCTGGATCTTCATAAACTTCAGTTGCTAGTCATCTCCTGTCCAAGCACATGGAAAAGTGTAATTGGATGTAATCAGCATATTAATGATGCTGTATCCTGAATCTAAAAGGGATGCTGTGGCTCAGTGGCTAAGACGCTGAGCTTGTCGATCGAAAGGTCGGCAGTTCAGCGGTTTGAATCCCTAGTGTCATGTAACGGGGTGAGCTCCCGTTACTTGTCCCAGCTTCTGCTCAGTTTGAAAGCACGTAAAAAAATGCAAGTAGAAAAATAGGGACCACTTTGGTGGGAAGGTAACAGCATTCCATACGCCTTTGGTATTTAGTCATGCCGGCCACATGACCCCGGAGACTTCTTTGGACAGCGCTGGCTCTTTGGCTTTGAAACGGAGATGAGCATCACCCCCTAGAGTTGGGAACGACTAGCACATATTACCTTTATCCTGAATCTGTGGATATCTTCCCACCACAGTTTCCATATAGATGTTAAATAGCATTGTGGAGATTACTGAGACTTGTGATTCAGCCAGGATCTTGAACTCTCTGTTCCTATTACTATTGACTGGAACTCAATTGGTTTCACTTTCCCTGGAACTCAAGAAGAAGTGAAACCAATTCCAAAACAGTGTCCCCATGTAATAATGAGAGGGAAATATTGTTGCTTTATTGTCTTGAACATAATATAGATTTGAATGGAGGCTCATACCCGTGTTTGATCATATTAGTTTTTCATCTTAAGCTTGGATTTTTTTGTTTTGCATGTATTTTATGGTGTTCAAGCTCTGTCATACATTGTAATGGTTAAATTATAAATTGAAAAATAAAAATGTTTATGCATGTTGTTCATATGCAATATTCATGTTACTAAGACTATGCAGACTTCTTGATTTGAAGGAGCAAAGAAGCTGAGCCTTTTCCTAGGCTCACATAGCTGCAGCTGCCTGATCCCAGGGGAAAAATGTGTTTGCTTGGAGGAAGTGATGATAGATGCAGTGTGGGCATTCGTGTATGCTCCAAATCACTGTTTCCTCTTTGAGTCATTGCACAGCTTTAATACTTAACTGGCTCACATAGAGCATTAGTATACATTACTAATTACATTGCTAGTATACATTTGGCCATATTTAAACAATGCTGTCTTTTCTTCACTTATTTTCCTTCTGAATCTTCCAGAATTTATTATGGTTGTAGGTCTAAAATTCATCTGTGCTCCTTTTGCAATGCCTAAAGCATTAGTTAAACTAGAATTATTGTAACAGAGCGACTACAATCTCAACTAGTTTGTTTAATTGAATTGTTTAGCAGCCATCATAATTGTAATATGTAAAAATAATATATATTGCACATTTGCTTATTAATATATCTAAAAGATTTGCAAATCAGGAACTGAATATAGAATATAACTCTTTAATGAAAATTGATTAGTTGGTTATGTGCCATCAAGTCAAAAAACAGACATAGATTTTCTCCGTGACAATCTATCCCTAGCCTGGTCCTGTAGGTCTTTCAATGGTATACCCATTGCTGTGTAATCCAAGTCTTATCCACCTTGCTGCTGGTCATTCTCTTCTCTTTCCTTTTACCTTTTCCAGGATTAGAGACTTCTCCGGAGAGCCAGGTCTTTGTATAATGTGTCTGAAATAGGATAATTTTAGCCTGATCATTTGTGCCTTGAGTGAGATTAATGACAACAGTCAGTAGAAATCGACAAATGGATCAAAATAGTTAATAGATTTGCTCTTGATCTTTAAATAAACCGGGTCTTTTAAATAGACTATCTTTAGTCTATTTTTAAAGCATTTAGAGCAACATGTTGCCTAGCTAATGCCCATAATCCATATTGATACACAATATAGAAAAAAATTCCAGGTGCAAAAAAAATCTTGAACCTTATAGTATTTTAAGTGGCCCTTGAAATTCCTTGTTCATGAAACCAATCTACTTCAAAGGTCAGTATCATTCTAACACACTAGTTAGATTTCAGGGCTGCAGATTTATTCATCTCAGATAGGCAGTGAAGTAGTAGCCTAAACTTTCAGACTTTTTTTTATTATGAAAAGGACTAAATAAAACTTCTCCCTCAGAACTTTTATATATATTTAGAGTTTTATTGTACAGAAGAATAATAGGCCATGAATTCATATTGGCAAGCAAGTCATATAGTCCAGATATTAATTTATTATCTAATTGCTCTTTTGTGAACTAGCACAAATGGAAATTGCTGAACAGAAGTTATTCACAGTTTTAACAGTAGTATGTATTAAGTATATAGTTTTTTTTATTTGTGATTCCTTTCTATGATTTAATAATGTATATATTAATATGAACGACTGTTCACTGATAACTCAGGATATTTGAATTGTGCAAAGCTTGTCTTTAATTGGTCCAGTACGAGGCAAACTCTATAATACTATTTTTCATCATGGAAATGTTTTCTCCATATTCAGCATGAATGTTTTACTCAACAGCAGTAATATTTTAATATGCATTTATTTAAATACAATATTAGATTATATAAATTTACATATCAATTTTTGTTTTAATTTTAAATCCAAAATACATTTTAAATTAGACCTTATTTATTGCTCTTTTTGTTTTAAATTGTTTTTCTCCTTTTTCATATAATAGTATGGTTTCCCCTTTCATATAACTATTGGCCATTTGCATTTGCAAATTTGCACCTTAGGAAGAGTTTAAACTTTGCTTTATCATAAGAGAAATTTGGGGGAGACTTAGTAGGTTTGTGGTAATTTGGTTTTTCTACTGTGGTTTTCTTTCTTTTTTTTTTCCTTCCTTGATTTGAAAAAATAACTATTAAAATTTGAAATTGTCCTGCTTCTATATCTAAAAGAATCTTTTTTAGTGCAAGCTAATTGAACTCTGCCTTTTCTTTCTTTGCTGGTCAAGGAAACACCAATATAGTATAGTGAGCTATTTCAGCAGTAGCATCTGTGCAAACTAACGAGTACACCAGACTCAGATTTAGTCTGCTATTCTGATTCACAAATTATTAATAAAATGTGCTTTGTTTGTGTACATGCACTACTTAATGGCACACAGACAAATACAAACATCCTGGTACAAAGGCCTAGTCTTAAATTCCCTTTTAGAAGAATATCTATGCTTTTTTTCTAGTGTTTCAATATGCGGAAAGCATTTTGCCCTCATTTTCTGCTATATAAAGTAAATCTAATATGGTATAAATTAATTTTATTTTAACAGACGTTTAACCATCCAAGCAAGGAAAAATAGATAGTCATGCTACAGAGAAAATCAGATTTGCATTTAAGAAACTTACTTGTTTTCATAATATGCTTCTGTTGGTCATAAGACAAAATGGTTGTTCAGGACACGATAGCTATTTTACCATACTAGAAGGAGTAGTAAAAAATGTGAATTTCTGAAATTTAATCATACAATCTTATTATACGGTTTCTAGCTTTAAATTAATTTTAGCTACAATAATGAGAGAAACCTTTCATTTAGAAAGAAAAATCTAAAAAAAGAAAGGTAGAATCATGTACTCAAATAATTACATATTGAAAATGTGAATACTATATGAAGCAGCCAATGTGAATATATATCCCTTTTCTATGCATTTGATAAGTTGTAATAGGACTATTGTGACACGTTGGAATAAATGGAAAAGCAGATATCCTCTCAAATTGTTTTTGGGTAATGGATTAATAGAATTCTACAGAACTATCAACTGTTTTTCAACCCACTTGAGTTCATTCTGTGGATATAATAGATTATTATAAGGTACCTGCTCCTAAGCTTAGACATACTAGACCTGGAGAGCTATAACATTTAAGTAAGTTAAATCAGCCCTGTAATCTTGCTACTGAAAGGAAATTTATAAAAATATATTGGGCATTTTGTTCTTTTCTGAGCAACTAATTTATTCTGACTTTAGCAGCTATTTTCCTTTATTCATTAAAAAAGGGACAAAAGTTTGTGTCATTTCATGGTCATTTCATTTAGCTTCCTAGTGGGGAAAAATACAAAGTTTAGAGTGAAGCCCCTGCCCAACAACTATTTATAAATTTGTTGAATATTAATTAACAGCAAAAGCCTGTTTGTACATTTGAAGAAACTGTGCAGGAAAGCAGTGCTTTAAAAGTGGCTGGCCCAATGTTTTTCTAGCCTTACTAAGCTAGTTTTTGAATCATTGACCCAGATAGCTGATCAAGTTTTTGCTCTGCTGTCTTTTACCTTCTCAGCTTATTCTATTCTTTAAACTTCTGTATTAATAACTATGAAGAATTTTTAAGATCTCCTCTTTTTTCCCCTTGCACCAGGTCCAGCAAGACAATGAATCTGTGTTCCAAATGCTTTGCTGGTAAGTGCAGTATAAAATTGGCTTTGAGGATTTTTTTAAAAATCTCCCTTAAAATAATCAGTCAGTTGGAAACAATTCCTTTGGAGTTTACAGGTGATTATCTATTTCTTATCTGTTGCATGAAACCAGCTTCTCCTCACCTGGTGCTTCATTTGTTTGCTCAGGTTTCTTGAAACAGTCCCCAATGTGTATAAAAAAAGCCACTTCTGCACAGGGACCAATCAAGCCTTCATTCACTGAAGATGATAAAAAGTGGAATGTCCTTGTACTTGTCAACTTCTGGCAGACCTAGTTTAGTGTTCATTTTATTATTTTAGAAGTTTAAACTCAGTAAGGCAGACTTTAATTATGTTCATTAACACTAACATTTATGTTGGGGCTGCTTTTTGTCCCATAAGTTCAAGAATAGACTATTTATAGAGTGATGGTGACAAATAATTTCATCTTTTGCCTCCTACAATTTTGTTTTAAATTCTTGAATATATAAGGTGTTTTTGACCTTCTGTTTTTGTGATCTCATTAAGTAGTCACTATTTTACTATCTTATATATGGTGAACAAAAACGGAATATATAAACATTTCAGGCGTGCAGCTCTGCAGTAGTTCTAGATTTTTTTAAATCCACTACCCTGGACATAGCAGAGATTTTTAGTTCGAATTTATGACCTTCAGCAATATAAGCCTACAATTAATGAAAACCATTTTAAATATATTTAAATTATATATTATATTATATGGATTTGATTGTCCATCATGCTTTTTACAACCTTACTACATATTTAAAGCAAGACTATATAAATTTTTGTTGTTCTTGGATGGGTGGCCATTTGATTTGTGGATAGGATCAGGATTAAGTAAATAGAGTTAGCTAAGCATAAATTTACTTCATTTACATTTTCTTTGTTTACATTTAAGTAAGTTCTAATTTAAGTACTGCTAATATTATTATCATATGTGTTTAATAATTTTTCCCTTCTGTCATGCAATTTAGCAAAGAGGCCATGTGCTATTCTGGGACTGTAGATTGTGCTACCATTTTTAGAAGGAAAAGATAAATGGCAAATTTTAAGGATTATTTTTAAAATAATAATAGGGAGCAAATAGAGCCAGTTTGGTGTGTGGTATAGATTCAGGCTAGAAACCAGGATACTGTGAAACCAGGACCTGTTCTGCCTTGGGCACAAAGCCAGCTAGGTGACCTTGGGCCAGTCACTTTGTTTCAGCCCTAGTAAGGAGGCAAAGGCAAAACACTTCTGAAAAACCTTGCCAAGAAAACTTCAAGGACTATCCAGGCAGTCTTCAAGAATGGGACACAATTGAATGGAAGCAAAAAAAGAGAAAATACTTTTTATATATGCATATGTGCTAAAATAAAAAGCAAATCACAGGAAACTTACAGAAGGTAAATAGTATTAGCCAGTGTTAAAATTAATTAAGATGTTTATTTTAACGAACTATTATAACATACATTCTGAAAATAAAGCCAACCATCATTCAGAAACTTACATTAAGTTGTTTCTAAATACTTTTGAAGGATTGAGCAGCGAGCTAATAGATTAAGTTTCTGGCTGTGATGTGAAATTGAAATTATGTGTTGATAGATTTAGACTGTATGTATTAGACAATGTATGCTAGAGTAATCAACCTTCCCAAACTTTGAGAATCTTGTTAAGAAGTTTGTACAGATACTACAGATAGTCCTCAACTGACAACTGTTTGTTTAGTGACTATTCAGAGTTACAGTGGCACTGAAAAGATGACTTATAACCTGTCCTCACACTTATGATCCCAGCATCTCCATGGTCATGTGATCAAAATTCAGGTGCTTGGCAATCAGCATATGTGTAGGATGGTTGAAGTATCCTGGGTTTATGTGATTGCCATTTGCAACTTCCAGCCCGCATCTCACAAACAAAGTCAATTGGAGAAGCTGGATTCTCTTAAAACAACCATGTGATTTACTTAACCAATGCAGAGATTTGCTTAATAGTTGTGGCAAAAGTCATAAAATCAAGCATGACTCACTTAATAACCATCTTGCTTAGCAAAGGAAATTCTTGTCCCAAATGTGGTTGGATGTTGAAGATTATCTACACAGTGTATTGGTTGCTTAGTTTCCTGCTTATTAAGTAAATGCATATTTTTATTACCAGATTAATTTGGGTACATTGTTGTTAAAATGTGTCTTCTATCAGTAGCTCTTAAAAACTACTTTTCTAAAATGTGGTTATTTAATCTTGCCAGATTGTGTATTAAATTCTAAAGAAATATATATTTTACTAAACATGGTGGAAGTTACTTGGATGCAAACTGTTCTCACCTATTATCAGATTATTAGAGAAAGGGATAGGGATAGGGAGAGAGGGGGAGACGAGGAGGGAGAGAGAGAGAGAGAGCTCTAGAACGGTAGAAATTGGTAAACTATGAGCTTGGTATCAGATGTACTTAAACAATTTCATATTTAATCTTAATATGCTTCCGTGTTTATTAATGATGAAGAATATCTAAGTATTTTTTATCTTGACTTTATTTTCTTTTTCTCTCTAGAAAAAAGAAATCCACACAACGAAAAAGGTTAGTAAATGACAAAATTAATTAATTTTACCCATATCATTTGTGTAAAGTAATTGACTTTGCTCACATAGAAAGATACAGAGGTATGGAATATTTGGATCCAAAGCACGCAAAGGTGTTTTGAATCCAGTATGGGTCTCTTCCGGTACCGGTCTGTTGCTTCTTTGAATCCAAATTCTGCACATGTCCAGAAATAAGGAACTAAATGTAATAATTAAACAACATTTTGAATTTTCAGAATATATAAAAATATTATTCAGGTATTGATATAATTTTATTCCTTTCAACTAACATTTTACAAAGATTTATTATGGTCGCATGTGTCCTGTAGTTACAAGAAAAAAAATGTCAAAATGTTATAAGAACATATTTTAACAATAATTTTGGATAATTCAAGAAAAAAACATCAATATGTTTAAAATTTAGTAAATGTGACCAAAGAATTAAATGCTGCTTTATAGGGACAATTAAGCTTCTGAAAATAGTGGAGATCGGAGGCCTTAATCCAAATAAAGGATAGATTTTAAAATCCCTTCACACTGAAATATGCAAAATCTAAGCTGCCCCTATTGGGAATGTTAAGTCAATGCATCACTTTTCTTTGCATAACTGAAATTTAGGCAGCAATATGATTTCTGCATTGAATGTATTACATAAAAGCAGAGAAAGGAACATGGCATAGTTGCTCAGAAATTTTCTTCATCTTCTGTCAAAATATCTTGAAACAATAGGAAGTAACTCTGTGTATTAGAGTGAGGAATACCTGCAAATGGAAATAATGTCCCTAAAATACAGACACTTGATAAAATTATATATCTTTCCTTCATTCCCCCAGTTATTGTCAGTATCCCAGCTTAGCATATTCTTCTCATGCTCCCCCTATTTTCCTTTGTTCCTTCACTGAGCTGACACTGGTGACTTAGCATTGCATACAGGTAATCCTCTGCTTACAACCATTTTGTTGTAAGTATGAAAATAACCTCTATAATATATTTGAATTAAATGTGACATTAAGCACCCAACTTCCTATAGACGTTTAGAAAAATAAGGATACTTAACAAGTCAAAATAACAGAAAGAAATTTAAAAATCCTATCGCAGTTGGCATTTAGCCAGATGGATGCCATATTACAAAACTAAATACTCCAAGAAAATACTATGTATTCTCTTTTAATTTGCTTGAAATTCTCCCTGGAAAGTTTTTAGAAAGGTATTCAAAAGCTGAAGGAGATTGCTCCTAAACCATTACTGTCCTTAGCTCTATAACACATGTTTTACTTCCTGTTCCCTTCAGGAACTCCTCCCCCTTTGTTTTTAAAAGCTCTCAAAGTTTCATTCACTTGCTAAATAAATGTTTGTTGTGCCTACGTGATAGAAATAAAGTCTCCCTCTTGAAGATATTGATTGTACTGTGTTAGGCAACTTGAGACTGTTGGACACAACAGGAAAATTTCCTGTAAAATATTTTTTTTAATCAAAATGAATTTTGCTTTATTCTCAGTATAGCTACATGTGGTCGCTTAGTGACAATCAAAGCTGCAATGGACTTCCCCAGAGCTATTTTATGATCCATTGATTGCATTTTCTTGGCAACTGGCTCAAGTTTATAGGCGTTTGCAGTGTCCTGCAGTAATGTGACTATGTTTTTTGCCAGTTTCTGGCATTTTCTTGTGGTTTCTGGCAAAGAAACCCATTGAGTAAACTGGATTATTTTAACAACGATAGTGTTTGCTTAACGACCACCACAAAATTTCTTAAAATTGGGTGCAGTTATAGGGTAACCCAATTAATGACTACCATGGCTTACAACCTTAATTCTGAGCTTAATTGAAACTATAAGAAAAGGACTGCCTATATAGAATTTTTATAGAACACCATAAAAATTGCTTTAGTGTGTAATTGTTACTCTTCAGATTAGTATTCAATGAACAAATAACATACGTAACTGCATGACTTTACAGATAGTCCTTAATAATCATAATTGTGCCCAGAATTTTGGTTGTAAGTCATTTCAGTTGTTAAATGAGTCATTATATGACTGGACACAATTTTTTTTTATTATTATTATTATTATTATTATTATTATTATTATTATTATTATTATTATTATTATTATTATTATTTACGAGATTATTAAAATAAATCATATAGTCATTTGAGCGAGTCATGTGGTCATTAAAAAAGTCCTTTTGGGATGGATAGAAACCAGCAAAAAATGCCAGAAATAGCAGAAGAATTGCAAATCGCATTCATAGGACCAATAGCCTCTGCAACCAGTCGTAAATGCAAGCTGTTTGCCAAGCTCCCGAAATGCAATCATGTGACTGTGTGTTTGTGTGTGCTGGAGTTGTAACTTCGAGGATGGCTTATAAGTAATATTTTTGGAAGACATCATAACCTCAAATGATTGTTAAATGAGAACTACCTGTATCAAATTATCTCTTAAGTGGCTAAATATATTGTTTTCTACTATAATAGCAAAACTTTGTATACATTCTTCCCCCCCTCCTCCCTTTGACTGATTAATGGTCCATGTTATCATTATAGCAGTCTAGACCTATTGTGTTAAGATATGCCTTGTGAGCAGACACTAATGTAACATGGCAATATTCTGGTTGTTGATATTAAAATATTATACTCTGTAATCTTTTTTTTTTTTTTTGCTTTAATTTATATGCCGCCCTTCTCCGGAGACTCAGGGCGGCTTACAGTGCGTTAAGCAATAGCCTTCATACTTTTGTATATTTATACAAAGTCAGCTTATTGCCCCCACAATCTGGGTCCTCATTTTACCTACCTTTGAAAGGATGGAAGGCTGAGTCAACCTTGAGCCTGGTGGGATTTGAACTTGCAGTAATTGCAAGCAGCAGATGTTAATAACAGTGCATTAGTCCACTGTGCTACCAAGGCTCCTTTGTCAATCTTGTAAGGTTGACTATCTTAGCAGCTGTCTCATTCAGTTTTAAAAAAATATTTTTCTTTTAATGCTTTCTTTAAATTAATTGCTTCTAGATGTAATGTTGATAATTTCAATGTGCTAGAACCATGATGGCGAACCTATGGCAGGCGTGCCACAGGTGGCACACATAGCCATATCGGTGGGCACACAAGCTCAGCTCCAGCCTTCTGGAAGTAGGGAAACAGACTGTTTCCATTTGGTGGTGGGGAAGGCCCGTTTTTTTCTCTCCCCAGGCTCCAGAGCCTTTCTAGGAGTTTGGGGAGGGCAAAAACGGCCTTCCCGCCCCCCCCGGAGGCCCTCGGGGAAATGACCGGAAGTCAGCAAATGGGCCATTTCCAGCCTCCAGAGAGCCTCTGGAGGTGGGGGTGGGTGGGGAAGACTGTTTTTGCCCTCCCCAAACTCCTAGAAAGGCTCTGGAGCCTGGGGAGAAAGAAAAACGGGCCTACTGGGCCCACCATGCCATCGCGTGCCAGGAGTGGGGAGGTTGCGGGGGCGGTCGCATGCACGGGAGCGGGGCGCATAGAATGGGGGTGTAGGCACTCGTGCGCATGACAAGTGCCTACACCCCCTGGCACGTGATGGCAAAAAGGTTAGCCATCACTGTGCTAGAATATTCCAGTGCTTCCATTATATGATACATTTTAATAGGCTCTGATTAGCAGCTAGAAATTTTCGGGTGTACAAAAATAGAGCATTACTCTCATTTTGTGAAAGGAATAGTTGTGTTCTCAACTGTCTGGTCAAGAACATCCTCTTCTGATTAGAAGGGCTGTAGTACAATTTTTCCTGCCTTAAAGCTTGATAGAAGTTGGCACCTCAATTTGTGTTTTTCCATTAAACCTATGCTTTGTGGTGTATTTTAACAGCATTCAAACTTAGTATTATAGTTATAGCCTGTTGAGTGTCTGGTGCAGGACTGTTGCTGAAGTCATTTTCTGCCTAGCAATAAGAATCTGGCAGGACTTTGTGTTCTTGTCCATTTTATATTGAACTGATTTAGCATGCTTTTAAAAATATTGCCGGATTGTTGTTTTAAATGGTAATAAATGTAGCTCATGACTATATATGCATAGCTATGAAATCCATGTTTACAGTATCCTCACGGTGTATACATCTTCTCTAAAAACATCCTGAATATTTGGTTCATGGCATACTGGTTAATTTCAACATGATTAATTTTTAGGTACCGGTACATTGAAAAGCTAGATGCAAGTACTGGTAATTGTTTTATATAGCTGAGGAGGACTGTTTATTTAAAATACCAAGCTTTTCATCACATTTGATACCCTGGAATTTTATAGAATTACAAATAATTAAAAACCATAAATTTGTATAAAATGCAATCAAATAAAAATGTAGTAATGTGTAAGATATTTTAAATATGAGGAAAAAGATATTTGTCTAGCAGTGGATGTATATTTTTAGAGGGACTGTAGCTTCCTAATTTTATCTATTTCATCTCTAGTAAGAGAAACAGGGAAGAGCTAATGCTGATATCAGAGTGATAGCTGAATGAAATAAGGGAAGATATTCCTTCAGATACCTTGATCTCAACTGGGAAACCTAACCAGTTCCATGAATATATTATCATTTACAAAATAGGGAAACATTCTTATGTTAATATTTTGATATTGCCTTTCTAGGGAATCTTTATTTTGCAGACATGTTAAATATCTACCTTCTTCTGTTAAATAACAGAAATACAATATCTCTTTAATGTCTCAGTGCATTGCACATTGATTTTGTGATGGTTGACAAACATTATTTATCCCCAATGGTCAAATAGAGGAAGAGCGTAAAGAAAACTTTTTATAGAGAGGTGCATGTGATAGAGTGATTTCCCCTCCTCCTTGGCAAATGGATTCTGTCTCTGTTGTGGCTTTCTATCTTATTAATATTGTGTTCATCTAATTTTTACTTCATTAACCTTGCTCTCTGCATGGTTTGCTGAAACATAAGCTCTAATTTAGTCCCTTGTGTGCGAGTTCTCAGACAGATAAAAGTGTTTGGGATATCACTTAATTGTGAAAAGATTTGTCCAG